AAAGATGCAGTTTCACTACACCTAAGCTCTACTGGCCTCTCCACAGCTTACAGAGGTCTTCAGGCAGTGGCTTATGTCCATATTCCAGCAGTGATGGAGAACAAGGACCCCAGCAGGCAGATTTGGGCTGGCAAAGAGTGCCAGACAAGAAGAGGCCAGGCAGGGCTGGAGCGGGGCTGGGCAGCTAAGGTTCCCCTCCGCCCAGCGTAGCAGCGAGGCTAAACTAATCCTGTGCCCCAGGCCCCTGAGAGGTGGCTCTGCCAAAGCCTGTCTCCCTGCTGCTGCAGGAAATTGCCTTCAGTGCAGAGGTCCATGAAACTTCCATGGCTCAAGCGCTGAAAACTGTGTGCACATTCAAACTCTAATTTACAGGTAGCTTCTTGTATATCTTAGAAACTGATATTGCCTCCTCTTTGATGCATTTGTCTTTATATGTAAGTTTTGGGAAAATTCTGTGTCTTGTACTATTATGTACTGCTGTATATTGGTTATATATTTTGTACAAACCATACAAGTGTTTTGACACTAGGAGACTGTTTTCCTGAGTAGTGCTGTTTGTCAGACTCTATAACGCCTCCTTCATTGTACTGTTTGACCCATTAGAGCAGCCAGAGCTCCCATGACGTCCCTTATCACTCCATCAGTTTTTTCTCATTAGCCCAACAGGCAGTGCAGGTTAACATGAGGGGGTCCTTTACTCCCTCTTTGGACACCATGAAATACAAACAGATGACACAGATCATACTTTAGCAATTGCAAGCAAATTTTCTAAAATAACAACTCCTTTCCTGTAACAATAAGCACTATTCCAGTTAAAGGCTGTTAGGTTTATTGTGATAAGTTATGGTTTTTAAGACATTTTCTATATTTATGGTATTTTCTAGGGGTGCGGGGGTGGGCAGCAGGGACTAAAAGGTGGAGAACAGAGGTGACAGCATGAGGACAGAGAAGGAGGAGGAGGAGATGAGGCAGGACATAGAGTGGAGAAACAGTTGATTATGAGCCCCATCAAGTGATCAATGATTTCATTAATAAGACGGATCATGCGGCTGTCATAGCCGTGACACAAGCTGAGGGATGATCCGATTTTGCCCCCCAAGCTTCCCTCCCTTCCTTCTCTCCTCTCCTTTCCTGTCTTTCCAATACTGCCAACGACAAGGAAAAAAGTGGGGGTGAGCAGGGTGTTGGTGGGGATAGAGGGAGGGAGGAGGAGAGTAAGAAAAGTGAAAATCCATTTTGAAACCCATTTTCAATTAGGGGTCCACAAGCTGTTATCACAGGTGTCCCAGAATGGGGGCCCGTAAGTGAAAATGTCTCCTATCCGTTTCTGAAATGAAACCTTATCTGGGAGGCACAAAGATGGCGGGGACAGCGTATCTGTAAATTATTTTCCATCCCTGCTGTTAACGGGAACTTTATTTCTGTCAGATGACATTCCCCTCTATTTACTGTTGATCATTTAAATGGCTGCCTAAAAAGACGGTGGCCTCTCACTCTTCCTCCATCTGGCCCTCCCCTCAATGGATCTTTCTTCCCTTTTTGCCCATCAGAAGAGACTTTCTTCAATGTATTCATGTGCTCTTCCTCTCCTTTAAAAGCTATTTTATAAACCTTTGCACCGCCATCTGTTTCTCAGAACAGTTATTTACACAAAATTCTGACTATCATTCCAAGAGCTTTCTACAACAGACGAGATATTAACTCTTTCCACAAAAGCCCACTTCAAAAAATCTGAAGGATCTACTTCAGCATCAACATAAAAGGTCCTAACTCACCCTTAACACAAAGAATTTGTAACTAAAACATTTCCTGACAGCTTTTTGGTAATAAATCAAGTTTATCTACTTCACTTTTTTATACTTTCAGCCAAATCTAGAATCTATTACTTTTTGTGTACTTCACACGTAACCAGACTTTTAACTTTGTTCATTTTTCTTTTATTTTGTGTTTTTTCATTTCAGCCGTATTTATTCAGCCAAAGGGCATGGTTAATTTTTTGAATCGCATGACTCAACAAAATAGTTAGGGAACTTTGTGTTCCACCTCCCTGCTGACTGATGAGGGCTAAAGTAGAGAGCAACCCCCAACCCACCTTCTTCCCACCAACTCATCCAAAACTTCTCCTAAAGAGCACCAATCACAGCATTGTCACAACCCGAACAGCTCTTTTGAGCTGTCACTGTGAAAGTAGAGGCCACAGAGATGAATGGCACACTATGAAGCCAACATTTAGCCAAACATGTGGGAACTCTATCAAGACTCAATAATTACTCAGCTTGAACCAAACTGAGTCAGGGAAAAGAAGGTAAAACAGAGAATCTTATTATTGAGCTGATTAATGAGCATAAACTTTGATGTTCTGAAACACTTTGGCCATGGCTGCCTCAGAGGAGTCAATGGGGGAGAGGGCGGACTCCAGAAACCATCTAATCACCATCATAATTGTTGGCCCACTATTGCCTCTTCTATTAGTACCATTAGTACCGGTACAGCATGGTTCGACTCGGCTCAGCACTGTATGCGTTGTGTTTCTATTATACTTTCAGTAACGGTTCTAGTGGGCAGGTTCAGTTCGGAGCCCACAGGAGCAGGCAGCACGGAGGATCTTCCATGGTGACCGGCGGGCCACGGAGCTGGGAAGATGATGCTCTGCCTGGCCTGAAGGGTCTCCAAGGCCCCAGTGGAGAGGACCGGGGGGACCGGCGGAGCTCCATCTAGCTCGTTCTGAATTTTGGCGTCAGCCACCAAGCACAAAAAAAACACCTGCACTTCAGCATTAGACCACGGTGTTGTCATTATTGTTTTTAAAATCTTAAAAATAAGTCCAGTCACGTTCGAGTTATTGCAAATGGCGGAACGGGTTGTTGTGAAAGTTTCTCAAACAACCAGTGACTCCACCCCCTGACCAATCAGTAGCCGACAGTGTTCTGACATCACGTTTTAGGGCCAGTTTGGTATGGTTGGAACCCCAGAGAAGAAAGGACTGAAAAAGGGACTAGTTCCACAAATAAGTGCAAGTGGAAAAGCCTTGGAACCGTGCCAAGTCGAGTCAAACCGTGCTGTACTGTTACTAATGGAAAAGGGTTATATGTGAGTAAGCCACTTATGGGACTAAGTTTGTTGTAGTTCCACAGACTGATGAAGTCCTTTGGATGAAAGATGAAACATTCAACCAAAAAAGAAACCGTCCAGATGAACTGACTTAACTTTGTTGGGTTTTTAACCTGGATTATTGAGCATGAATTTTGATGTATGAATCTTAGTTCCCAGTTACTTTTGTAAGAGCGAGCAAAATATCCATCACTCCATCTGCCCTTCCATATCATTCTACATTTTTCACAACTTATCGTACTGCTGGGCTGTGCTATTCTGCTTGATGGGGGGAAATATTTTGCCAGTATGTCACTGGGGTTCCACAGCTGCTCACAATTACCTTTTGTTTGGAGGGAGGCGGCAGAGCCGGGGCTACAAGGGTTAAAGTTGAGGCGAGTGTAGGGTTACACCTGATAAGAGGTTAAGAGTTCTGGGGGCAAACTGAGAATGCCCTGTAATTATAACCACACAAAGAATGTGTAAGCAATATTATGATTGACAGAGAATAATATCTAAAAATGGACCTTTTCATTTTTCTTCTTCCTTAAGTGACTTATAAGACTACTATAAGACTACTATGGTTTTTAGGGAGTGCAGCATCGTCCGCCAACAAGGCAGATTCAGTGTAGCGGACTCCTCAGTACGGTTTTTAAGACAAACGCTGTGCTGTTCGAAGACATAATTACAAGGACATTACTAAGAAAAATCCACAATCACAGAGCCAAATTACATCCATGCTTTTTCCACAACTAACTTTTTTTCCTTGCTGCACCTTTAATGAATAAAGCAGCGCTGGCCATCTGGGAATGAGTAAGAGTGAGCGTGTTCCCAAGATGCTTCAGGATGCATTACCTTACCCACTTCCTGTGATAACTCCCATCTGGAAGCCAAGTCAGAGCAACTTATTTATCCCTTCCTGGGCCATTTCTTTCCCATTCGCACATGGGATGATGGCATTTGGCAACAGCAGAGTCAGAAAGCACTCCGTCAAGCCACCAGCCCCAGCTCTTAGAGCAAATTCTCCACATCCAAAACCTTCCAAATCCTCTCACAGCTAATGAGCACAGCTGCAGCTTAAGATGTGGTGATCTCAACTCTCGTTATATTATGACTTTACGAGGCTTTCCAGAAAAATATAAAAAATGTCATCTAATACTTTCTCTTTCCAGCCAAATATTTGAAAATAAAAAGCTGAAAGATGACACGTTTAATGGACTGCAAGCCCTACACCACTTTTAATGGCATGTGTTGAAGACGTTGCTGTGTAAACATGCCAAAGTTGCTACCAGTGAGTATTGTATGAAACCAGTGATGATTCATGAGAATTGTGCAAGAATCTCTGAGTGTACATCTTGTAATCATGTTTTGATTAGTTGACCAACATTATATTTCAGGTCTCTCTTGTAAACGAGTCCCTGATGCTCAATGGATAAATTGAGCCTGTATAAATAAAGGTTGAATGAATCTAAAAAGAACATGAGCACAAACGACGTTTCATCCTTATTAGATCAGAGCTCAAATGTGTTTTAGTGAGAAATGGTGGTCATTGAAGCCAAAACTGGATATCCAGAGGTTAAGATGAACTCCGAACAAATTAAAGCCTAGCATTGTTTAACAAAATTTAGTTATGCTGACATGGACTCTTCTGTTCATATTTTTATTACTGCTCCCATGAATCACACAAACAACACTAATAAAAAGATGTTACTACTATTACATAAAACATTTATACTTTTAATTGTTGCAGCAATATTTAAGTATCATCTGCGTATAGTGATAGCAACAATTGACTCAATAATTAAGCCAACAATGAATAAAGTTCTCCAAACATGCATGCATTGTGAGTAATCTGAGTAATGTGGATATGAACCACAGAGTTCCAGTATACAGTAATAGGTCAAAATTACCGTTTGAGGTCGTACTGGAGGCCACTGCCTTCTCACTGATGTCAGTGCGTGCAGATGAGCCCTTTGTAGCAACAATGGTCTCTACCCTCTTCTTCTTTTCAGCTGCAGAACTGGCCTGGGACTGGGTCTCCATGGTGATTGTTCATTCCTTAAGACCTCATGGAGACAGGGCAACTGTAGGTAAAAAAAAAAATCTGTATCACAAGATGAATTTGCACATTTGTTTATTCTTAAAAGTGGCTTTGAACCATGAGTTCTTCAAACCTGCACACTTTCCAGCCCTATTACACATTCTCTTTAGTTGTGAATCACAATAGCCATGTATCAACCAGTCCAGTCCATCCTAAGGTAGAAATCAAAGTTCTCTGTCCTCTCAATCACAATGTATGATGATGTAAATCCTGTCAACTGCAGCAGTCCATGAGAGCCTGACAAGTATTTTTACAGTTAACGGTGTGCAGCTCAGATTTTGTGATCATACAGACTATGAGCATCAACAATGAACATGGGGAACTTAAACTTAATCATAAAGTGGCAACAAATACACAACAGACAAAGAAAATAATTAAATCAACCATGAGTAAAAGAAAAATACAAGTGTTCAGTGTTTGTAGCATTTGGGCAATTTATCACTCAAGAAATAGAAGGACACAAAAACTACATCAAATTCCTGTTGAGAAATCGCTTGTTGTTTTCTTCTACTTGTGTTAGTTGACAAACCAGCACATTACTGCCACCTGTAGGCCCCTGAGTGGACTGGTGTGGTACAGCTTACCCAAAAATAATATACCATATTTTTCAGCCTATAAGTCGCTGTTTTTTTTTTGTTGTTGTTGCATAATTTACATGCCCTGTGACTTATAGGCCAAAGCGACAAATTTATGGATTTTTCCCATATTTATAAACCAATTTTTGGCTGAGATATGACCGTTTTCATTCATTATGTCAAAAAAAATTGAACAGTGCCATTTTCAGCCACTTAATGACAGCAGAGTAGTAGTGGCAGTATGGCATGCCGTTGTATCATGCAATAGGTACACGTGGCTATAATGACAATTTCAAAAAAGTTCAAGACAAAAACAACTGGACTTTATTTATTATACTTTATACTTTACTGTTTTTGTCTTGAACTTTTTTGAATTTACCATGTTCTGGATGACTGAAAATCTTCACCAACTATTAATGACACAATCGGTTTGCCACAGTATCCCCCACCTTCGTTCTGCTTGCTGCTTGGAGCAACCGTCAAACCAGCTGCACCGCCCCGGCAAAATGCAGCTAACTTGACCATTAAAATGCATTTATTAAGTAAAAGTTCAACTGAGACACACCTTTGCTATAATTTCGAGCAAACAAATAAATGTTTAGGTGCTTTCCTTGCTAAATTTCAAAGAAACGAGCAGCTTTCCTCCTGCCTTTTTTTCCTCCCACTGCGCGCTCCCGGAGCACCGAGGCAACAAAACTATTTTTGAAATTCAGCTGATTTGAGCATTAAAGTGCATTTTTTTAAGGAATAGTTCAACTGAGACACACCTGTTTTTAGGTGGTTATCTTGTTAAATTTGCAGCGACTCGTCACATGCATGCGTTTACTTCCGCGTATCAGCTTTTGAAATACAGCTGTTTTGACCGTCAAAGTGCATTTATTAAGCAAAAGTTAGACTGAAACACACATTTGCTATAATTTCAAGCAAACAAATAATTGTTTTTACGTGTTAATCTTGTTAAAGTCCTCCCATGCACGCTCCCATGGCCGCCATTTGGCAGCCCATCGATTTTTGACACATTTCCTGGTTGTCAGCGGTGAGGTGTACCAAACGCGATGCATCAGCGGTGACGCATAATAGATGTGACGTATACGGCAAAGCAACATTTTTATGGATTTTTCCACTTTTTAAGACATATTTGGACTGATGCAGGTCTCACTTGTAAATGAGTCTTCGAGGCTCAATGTGATTCGTCTGTTTAAATAAAGGTTGAATGAATATTTGGACTGATGCGACGTATAGGGCAGTAAGACGTGTACGGCGGAAAATATGGTAACTAGATACAAAAACAGCATGTTGTAAAAAATCCCTACATCTCACACATCCAGATACAGAACTCTTTTGATGCATTAATAGGATAGTCATGCCAATTAGCAGACTCATACACACTAATAGTTTCAGCCCACCAGGGAAACAAACGTGTTCCTATTATAAGATGCACCTGGAGGAACATATTCCAATATCTGCACAAGTGCACATGAAAATCAAGTCAGCAAAAAGTCTACAGGAACATCTAATTACTCAGTTCATGGTGTATTCTCAAAGTTATGCACACAATTCCTGATGTTTAAACAATGTCAAATATTATCCTTGTTCTTTCCGTTGAGTTTACTGACTTGTTTAACTTTGTTCATTTTATTTAAAGTTGAGTCATCCAACTACAGGAATTATGAGTTGATTTCTGGGTCACAACATACCAAATATGTAGTTTTCATACATAGCGTACCGAGGATAATTTATGTAAGATTGTATTTTCTGAAACTGCTCTTGTTCTGACACCTGATAAATACATTTAGACTGTGCATTACATTTACTATGTTAATTTTAAATGACTCACCTGACAGACTGAAAGTAAAATAATTTATCAGTAATGTGCGTCAAGAGAAGTGTTCTGCTGTGTATCATCGCAGGGGAAAACTTCCTATCCAGTCCTCCCTTTTTCATGCTGCCCATAGGTCAATCCAGCAGCTCACCCTGATTTATTTTAACTCTAACCTGCTGGACCATCTGCTTGTCATGACACTGATCTCCTCTAGCACTAACCGTGGTTAAAAATCCCAAACTCCGATGGTCTTATTTTTTAACTTAACTTTTGACTTGTAGTCAGAAAACAACAGCTCAATAAAAAGAGAAGGGCAGGACATCCTGACAAGTTTTTATATCTCAGAATAAACGTAAAGGCAGCTTGTGGATATACTGATAATCCTGTTCTAGTAGTCTTTTTTTTTTTCCAGAGAGAAAGAAGAAACCTTAAGGGGATACAACAGAGACAGAAAAACACTCACAGTCCTGAAAAAACAAGACTTGTTTGAAGGCTCCTTTGGGAATATCATGGTGCCGGGCAATTTTTCTTTCAAAGAATAAAGGTGGTTCAAGTTAATGCTGTCTGTGGGTTTAGAAGGGGTTCAGCCAAAAGTCTGGCAGACATGTTGCTCAGTTCAGCACCTCAGAGGCCGTCTATGAGCTCAAATCTATTTGGGTCATGTAGGTCCACTGATTACGGTTGGCGATACAGCACAACCAGTCATTTACTCAAAATACAGGACATACAGCGTAAAGTACAGGACAGAGTCCATAATTCATGGAACTATATTTCCAACTAGTGGAAATATTTAGTCTGACAAGCATTCTCCTTACAATAAAACCCAGCTAATTACCTAGCTGTACTATTTATTTTGCCCTCCACTCCATAAACATGCATGGATGCAAAAGCAGTAAAGTTAGCTTGAATGCAAAAAGAAAAACTGCGGCTGAAACTAGAAGTAGTGGGGGCTGAGTTTTTTTACCATCTCCCAAAGGAAGGAAGGCAAGGGGGAAGTGTTGAGGGGTAAACTTCAGACAAACACTGTGTGCTTTGTTTGTTTTTTCCCAACCCCCTGAAAAACCACAGTCTGTCATCCGTTCTGACCCGACAACAACATCTGTAAGCAATTGCTTACAAAAGAGAGAGAAAAGAAGGGGGAGAAAAAAAACATGGTGCAATTACACCCCAACCAATCAAAAGAGAATTAAACAAGAACTTGTCCTCTAATCACTCCCGCATGAATACATATGTAGCAATCGTACCAACCAAAGACATTTTTTGTTCTGTTTGCAAAGATATCATCTTTAATCACTTCTGCGTGTGTTTGATAAAGTCGCTGCTTTCATTTCTGTGTGTTTCATGCAGGAAAGTGTCCGAATGCTTGTGTTGCATATGAGTATGTAGATCTGTTTGTAGGCTCCTGCAACAATGAATAATCCTAGGTGCTTTTATTCACTCTTTATTCACTCTCTCTATTCTCCTTTTACATGTTACCCTTTAAAACAGTCATTACCATATTCTAATAACTGGAATTAAAATATGAATTCTGATCTTTTGAAGTGAACTTTATGAAAGATTATAAACCAAAACTATTAGGGATGCATGATATTGGATTTTTAGTCGATATCCGATATGCCGATATGTTAAAACTTATTTGGCCGATAACCGATACAATACCAATATTTTTTTCCTAGACCTACTTACATAGACTACATAGTTTTCTCTGCTGTGGAATCAAAATACTACATTATTCTGCATGGTCTTTCTCAGTTTGGCCTGCTACCAAATGCAGTTGCCAAAAAGGAGGCTGAAAATGATGTAAACACTTCAACTTGGAAGCACCTTTTATAACGGTGATTATTTTGATGGAATGGCCGATGTCCGATATATAACTTTATCGCTAATATTGGCTGATACAGGTACCATGCCGATAATATCATGCATCCCTAATAAATATCTCACCCGTTATAAATGGCTCTATGATTGGCCTCAGCTAATCTGAGTGGGGCAAAAATCAAAGTGCATTGTTGCAGTCTTTAAAAAAAAAAACTCAAATTACTTGTTTCTAACCGTTTCACAGAACCCTACTTCAAAATATGTGAAATGTTGCTTTATGTCAAAATTGTGAACAACATAACTTAAAGAGATAGTTTAGTCATTTGTGAGTGGTGTTCTCTTAAAAATGTATCAACAGCTAGTTCCTTATGATGTCATAGAGCACAAAGTATAGAGAAACGAGCACAAGTCTTCATACAGGCTATAATGACTAGTCTAAGGAGGGCTCAATTTATTTATTTAATACTTTTGTAACACCTTTTTCTTTTAAAAATGACATACTTATGTAGAAGAACATTATACTAGTCAAAATTAAACCTATACTTTTGCATGATACCATTTGTTTAGTTTGTCACTGTTTTTAAACCAAACAACATCCATGTTACTACACAAATGTATTTGAGCAGATCTCTATATGCCGATGATAGACTGATACATTCAGCTGCCTCAGCACTATTGGATTACAGTGATCCCTTACCTAGCACCGAGGTTACGTTCCAGTGACCCCTGCAGTAGGTGAAAATCCGTAAAGTAGTGGCATTATATTTA